GCAGAACAGTGAAAAGGAGACATAGCAAAAAGCCAAAATTTATTAAGAGCTACAAAGGACAGGAAATTGTGGAGAGCCATGATCGCCAACGTCCTGAAGGGCCACGCCAAATAGAAGACGAAAGAGTTCTATAAATAGTTGGCAGAACAGTGTTTAGGAGAGATAACAAAAAGATAAAATTTACTAAGAGCTACAAAGAACAGGAAATTGTGAAGAGCCATAACCGTCAACGTCTTGATAGGCACATAGAAGAAGACGTAAGAGTTTGTGTAAATGGTTGGCGGAACAGTGGATAGGAGAGATAACAAAAAGACAAAGTGTATTAAGAGCTACAAAGAAAAGGAAATTGTGGAGAACCATGATCGCTAACAAAAACAGAAGATGACGATTTACATGGCGGATATTTTAATATAATTTTTCATTATTTCACCTGAAGTAAGACAATAAATTCACTAAGGCGTAAGAGGTTAATGAGTGTGAAAGAATCTAAGAAAAACGTTTTTAAGGATAAAAACGTTTTTAAGAACGATAAGAGAACGGAAATTAAGTAGACAGACGGCGATTGACATTGCATTTAAAGTTTTGAAGATCAAAGTTGACTGTGAAGCAAGAATCCAGAAGAGATTTCTACAAGCGAGAATTGCGAGAGAATAAACACAAACTTTATAATTACATCTAGCAATTTCAACTGGGCAATTTCGATAATGAAACTATTGTCAATAATCAGAAAAAAAAATGGAAATGGTGTAAGTCTTGATATGAGTGGTGATCAGAGGGAAAGGAAAGAGAAACAGAGAAGCAAAGGAGAAAAAAAAAGATGTGCTATTTAATATATCCAGTCGAAATCAGATAGTAGATAGGTCAAATGAACCTTCAGAAATTAATGAAAAAAAAAAAAAAATATTATATAAAAAATAATAAGAGGTAAACCAAAATATATGAAAGGAGATAACTCAGAATTAAAGAGTATTAACTTAACAATATGCCAGAAAAGAATATTAAGGAAAATATTAAAAATGTAATATAAAGGTGGTTGAGGGTTTAATAAATAGAATGATATGAATACATCCAAATTAATATATATCAAATTATATTTATATTAATAAGCATCCACAAGGAAAATAATTATATTTGAAATTTAATATATAATATAATAAATGCCTCTACTAATAATAATAATTTGCCTGGTAAGTTATTAGGGCAGGTGGAGGATTGCTTTTTGGCCTTTTTTATCCCTCTTTGACCTGTTCTGCCATACATTTGCACAAACACATTCTCTTTGATTCTCCCAGCTTCCTGGGGAACATTTTCTGTCCTCTATTACTACACTACCCAGATAGCTAAACTTCTGTACCTGCTTGATTTTGATGTCCCCAAAACATAACTTGGGCTGATTCTGTTGCATTCTATCTTCTTACAGTTAGTCCATTCTTCTTGCATTCTAGGATTTGTCTTGTCTAGGATTTTTTTGTATTTTCTTTGTCATCACTGTTTGTTATCGACAGTCATTCATTTATTTTCAGATTAACTCATTGTATAGATTAAATAAATCTGGTGGGAAAATGCATCTTTGCCTTACTCCTCTTTCTATTTTTATGCATTCACTGAACTTATTCTATATCCACATGCAGGCTGCTGATTCATGGTAGAGGTTATGAATTACACAAATAATTTACTCATATAAATCAAGCTTTTCTAGCATTTCAAGTAGGTCTGTGCTGTACCTGATGAAATACTTTGGTTCGCAATCTATAAATGTATATGTCTCCTGATATTTCACCTCTCATATAATTATTATTTCAGTAATCTTAACAAACCATCTGACAGCATCTCTATTACAATTCTATCTGGCTCCATTGTTTTTGTTCATCTTGGCCAGTGCTGATCTTACCCTAAAACCTTTAATACTTCAGGTTTTTATGTGTTTTGTCATGGAAGAGGTCTCCAATGTATTTGTTCATCTTTGTAATATCTTTTCTTTACCTATTAGTAGTCTCCCTTTTAAACTTTATACAAAATCCTGCCATTTCTTTTTATCTTTTCACATATACCTGCTGTGCTGTCTGTGTTCCATAGTATTTCTATCTCCTGCACACTTTTTTTTTGTTGAGCCATTCTTTTGTCTGCATTTATTTTTAATGTCATTGCTAAACATACAATATTCGTACATGCCATTCCTCAGTATCACCTGCTGCCACATTTTCATTAATTTGAAAATTTCTTCTGTTATCCACTTTTTTTTTTTTTTTTTTCTCTTTAAATGATGTCTTTTACCAATGTCACTAGTACTACTCTTAAGGTGTTCCCACATTGGGATACAAACTTCGTCTATGAAGTTTAGATTTCTTTAATTTCCATAATTTTATTCTTCGTTTGCATAAGATTGAGAGGCAATCCACATCCCAGTTGGCACTTGCAACGGATATATTTTAGAATGTAAATTGCATTTATAAATCATTTATTGATTGTTAAGTAGTCTATCTGGTTCTTTATGTCCTCTCCTTATAATCCTAAATTATTACTAACCTACAATTATTAAAAAAAAAAAAATAAAAAAAATAAGTAAGGGACTTGACTAATGATATCCAATTAATTAGATAATTATACCTAATATTAGGAATCAATTATTATTTCTTATTAATAAAGCAGAGAAAAATATAACTATATAAACCAATAAAATGAATTCAACTTTATAACAAATATTCATTATTCATCAATGATACATAAAATACTTTACTTAAAAAAAAAAAAATAATGAGACTCAGAGAAAAAAATATCCTAAAGTTTTATATTTTATACTATAACTATTTAAAAAAGCTTGTAATGGCTTACCTCTCACATACATTTATTTGTTTTTTTATGGAATAGGAACAAAATACTTATGTTAGCATGTAACAGTTTTAGCTTAAAAAAATAAAAAAAAACTTCAAAAATCTTTAGTGCTAGTTCTTTGCTTTAAGAGACTCAAAGAATAATTCTTGGAAATATATTTAATCATTGTCCTCTTTTCATATTGAAATGATGTATTAACGGTCTCAGTATGTTGCATATAAATGTAAACATAATGTCGAAAAAAATTTATTTCGGTTCCACAGCAAATAACTGGAAAACGAGATTTTACCATCAAAATGATCATAACAATAAACAATATGCAACTGCCACTGCACTCTCAAATTTTACTCGGATATTAAAAAAAGAATAACTTCTCACCAGTAGTAGATTGGGATTTCGTCCTTAAAACTACACCTCACGACCACCCGGTGACCGACGTAACCTGTAACATTGAAAAATAGATTCTAATCTCAAAAATTAATTTGTAATATCTAAAGAACACTGACAAAGAGAATGTTAACAATATTAAAAAACCACACAGTGATTAACGTGTATCTATCTTTTAAGTTTGCATATATACCTAGGTATATACAAATATCAGAAAACTATCAGATTTTGTACATCAGTTATTTAGGAAAACCTTTTTACCTCCATACCTACATACACATAGATCAACACATGAATAAAATTTGCCAACCCAAATTAAATGATCAGAAAATATATGGAGCATCACAAATATACACAATGATACATATAGATAATCATAAGAGTCATTATTCTTACTCTGTCCTGGACATTGAGTTCTACCTGGATTCTATCCTCTTGGAAACTTTTATATGTATACGTATGTGTATGTATGTATATATATTTACATAGTTTAGATATATAAATATATATGTGTATATTTACCATTAACATTATATATTATATTTATGCATGTTTCATTAAATAATATAGATAAGTTTTGTCTATTTATTTTAAGTAAATTCCTTTTAATGAAACATGCATCAATGAAAAAATGCTGCCTAAATACACACAATATATATATATATATATATATATATATATATATATATATATATATATGTGAGAACTAATAAAAAAGATTGGAGATCAGGATAGATCAACATATACCAGCTAAGGTTTATCATGGGAGATGTGATCATTTGTATAAGCTGGTTAATACTTCAGGTAAGCAATTGCTGAACACTTAATAATCTGGTGTGCTATGTAGTTTACCAGAGATTTGTGAAAATATTAGAAACATTATACATTAAGTCTAGACTGCCTTCCCGCTTTAAGCAGAAGGGATGGCTGCTGGGCCTTGAAGTAATCAAAGCATGAATATATTTTTTTTCTTCTGCTGATGCTATAGTTTGTTTTTTTAAATGTTGTGCAAACAGTTTACACTTGTAATTTTCATGTTTATTGTTCTTATTGTTTTATTCACCTCTTTATGGTGATTTATCTTATTACCCTTGCTTCCCCAACCCTGTTTATTTTAATATGTCCGTTTTTATAGCATTAATAAAGTTCTGTAACACTCGTAAGATTGTTTAAAATCAGTAATTGTCTTATGAAATCTCAGATGAAGATATCAAAGTCTCAGACCAAATTGCATATGTAATGAAAACCACCTACACAAATTTGTTTGGTTTATAAACACAAGTAAGACAAATGAACCAACTTGCTACACCACACCTAAAACCAAACTGACTGACCCTACTTCATATTCAAATTAATACTCACACAGCAAAGTAAAAAAGTTGGATGAACATCTAGTGTGGTGAACTCATAATTTTTGCTTGGAGTATAACACACAAAGCCCACATACACGTTTTTTTTATGTATATGCAAGAATATACAGACACAACCAACTTATAGAAACAGAATTCTATTCCAATGCTTTATATCATTTTAGTAAAATTCCATAAATTTATTAATTTTCATTCAGTTAATTTTGGAAAAGTTGTTCATTTACATTCTACAATATAGAAAAAGCTTTTTAACATTTCAATAATTATAAAAAGAATATTTCCCTAAATAGCACTTGTGAAGAAAGATTATTCAATAAGCTGTTAAATTGAAATGTATGCCTCAGAAAAGATGCATGTAAATAAAATAATTATGAGAAAGGAAACAGGATGTAGATGCAGAGATGTACTTGCCAGGTGAAACAGTTGACTGCGCTTTCCTACCTTGTGTACCTCCACTATTTCCAAGGTGAGCAGACTCCTCAGCCATTTTGTCCCAATGACGAGCAACTTCAAACAAAACTTCTGGGTAAACTCCTCCCCCTTTGGCAGCACTTTCTACAGCTAGACAGGCTTTTTCAAGCATTTCTTTACTGTGCTCTTTGCATTGGAGAAGGGCACGTTGCACCTCTGTGGGATTCAGGGCATGGGCATGAGGTAGGCATGATAAGGCCAATTCAGAAGCTGCTTTAACCATAGTGGGGTCACGACCCCGTGAGGCACGGTCAGCAAGGGAAGCTACTTCTGGAGGAGTCAAATGCCCTTCCCAAGTATCAATAAGGATGTTGATAGCTGCACTGCCAATTTCCATAGCTTGCCCTGAAATAGTCAAAATATTACAATATTTACAGACAATAGAAGATGTTTATAATCATTTATTTTTATTTGCATATAACCAAATACTCTTACTGCAGTAAGAGTACAAATTAAACATATATATATATATATATATATATATATAAAAATATTTAGCTACAATAGGTTAAAATAAAAGGCAATAGGTAAGTGACAGAAATAATTTGCATTGCAATTTTAGAATTGCTTTCTTCTTATCTAGAGTTATTTACTCTTATAAAATTGATATCACACTAGGTTTCTCTGCATAACCTGAGTTAGAATAGCTTTTCGTAACATTGAATTTTGTTAGATAATTTTATTTGAGAAAAGCATAACAAATCAGGTAATTATGATAATCAGTTTTGTTTTTGTCATTAATGTTGAAAGAGGCCAAGAAGCAAATTACCAAAAAAGCAATTAATTATTACAATAGAAAATTAGCAGAAAGAAACATGTTAAGAAGAGAAAACTGATTTGCCTAAGAGAAGATATATATATATATTATTTATTTCTTTTTTGTTTGTTAAAGCTAATATATTCTTATTTTTTCATGTCAGGAGTATTAAAATAATACTAATTGTATTTATTTATTTATTTATTTTTTTTTTTTTTTCCAGGTTCATTTTAGTATGAAAATAAATAACCAAGAATAAACAAATATAATAAAACAATGAATAAAGGACCTTCTTGTGTATATTATATATTGAAATAATTATCTCACTTAAGAAGATCCCCAAAATGTTCTCACTAAGTGTTTATTCACAGATCACAGCATCTATCAGAGAGATGAAATTTACATAAAAAAAATAATACTGGAAAATTTTTTAAATATTTAAAGTATATTTAAGCACATCTCCCTAATAACTGTTGTGATCTGTAAAATCCACATCTAATTTATTTAGGCAAAAAACCAGTGATAAAATTTATTTTAAAAAGTCAATTATTATTACTTAATGCTACAATTACTATTAAAGGCCCTTTTGTTTTTTGATTTTTTATTTCTGTAAATTTATTATCCTAAAGCTTTCATCATAATGTATTATGATTCAATAAAAAATAAGAGATTTGCTCATTAAATTTTGTTATTAGAATAACACAAGAGAAACACCTTTCTCAGCATTTGCCTTTTATAAGTATAGAAATATTATTCTATAGTCTAATATACTGTAAGTTTCAATGCCAATCTCATGACTTCTTCAGAACATAGTTGATTATGTCTCTTCACAACTTCCTATGTTTTGTAGATCTAAGTAATGTTTGTTTCTTTACTATTCCTCTCAATCCCAGTTCTGCCAACCATTTACACAGGCTTGTTAGGTAGTTTACTCACCATTTACCTTTGCTTCTCTAACCTTCAATATGTCCTGATAGTATCAACTTCTCCAAGCCCATTTTCCTCCTTGTATGTCCTAGAAACTTTAACTGTCTCTTTCTCATACTAAGTATAAGTGTCATTTTTGTTTACCTTTTCAAGGCATTTTTGCTATTCCAATGCACCTTTTCTGTCAGCTCTTAAAACATTTTCCAGATGGTTAAATTTTTGTACTTAGTTGATTTTGTTGTCTTAAATTCGAAGCTCATATCTTGAGCCATTCCTTTTTCTAATGGCCTTACACCCTGTCTTCTTAAATTTGGAGCTCATATCTTGAGCCGTTCCTTTTGCTAATGGCCTTACACCCTGTTCTCTTAAAAATCAGAGCTCATATCTTGAGACATTTCTTTTTTTTAATGACCTTACATCCTGTCTTCTTAAATTTGGAGCTCATAACTTTTGAGATATATATATGTGTGTGTGTGTGTGTGTAAAAAAAATTGAAGAGGTTATTTCAAATAAAAGGTTAAAAAGATAATATGTAAGATTTCATGAAAGAAAATTAACTCTGTTGTTCCTGAGATTTTGTTATCACTATAGGTGTACACATTTGTGTACACAGAAAATTTTATTTATAGATTCAAAAGTAGGAATTGATAATTGTTGAGTTCTTCCTTAACTTTTATCTATTACCAAATTCTCAGGGCAGTTATTTGTTGAACCTCTGTAGTTTGTTGACTTTATGGTATGTCTTTTGAGCTCGCCACTCTTCATACATTTATTTTCGAACCCCATCTTCATCTTCCACCTGCCTCATTATGACTAACAAATGCAGAACAACTGGCAATGGTGTTAATAAGCACATGTTGTCAGACATAACACAATTAAGGCTTTGTTTATTTATGGCAATTATATGACTTATTGTTCTTTATTTGGCTTAACCTGTTTATTATATTTGTATGTTTTAGGCACTTATTTCCTGGAAGAAAAAGAGTGAGTAAAATTGTTCCATAGTACAGAAAATTATTTACAATGAAGGGTTAAAGAGACATACATTGATATTTTGATTTTTCTGTTATATTTTGACAAGTAATTTTGTTGTTGATCCAGAATGCTTGTCATTCCCATGCAAGCTGTTGATCCAGAATACTGTTTGTTCTGTTGCATGATGTTCATTCATTCTAATTGCAATATTTTGATCTGGATTACCCATTGTTCTGATTGTGGTATGTTGATCCGGAATGCCAGTTGTTCTGATTGTGGTATGTTGATCCGAATGCCAGCTGTTCTGATTGCAGCATGTTGATCCGGATCCATCTGTTCTGATTGCGGCATGTTGATCTGAATGCTGGTCATTCTGATTCCATCCTGGGTATGATGATAAACTACATCCACGTCCTGGGGAAGATGATAAATTACATCCAACAACAAGTTCTCTGATCAGGAGGTTTTGAGGAGCATAGAACCACCTCCCAATTGCTGGTGTTCCCGGGTCCACCCTGACTTGGAGTGGTGGCACCTGTTGGTGTGCCAGCTATGGGCAAATAGTTAATATTTTGATCCGGAATACCATGTTGATCCGAATGCCGTCCGTTCTGATTGTGGCATGTTGATCCGGAATGCCATCCATTCTGATTGTGGCATGTTGATCCGAATGCCGTCCGTTCTGATTGTGGCATGTTGATCCGGAATGCCGTCCGTTCTGATTGTGGCATGTTGCTGGTGTTCCCGGGTCCACCCTGACTTGGAGCGGTGGCACCTGTTGGTGTCCCAGCTATGGGCAAATAGTTAATATTTTTAATACCAGAAATACTTTGTAAAAAAATTATTACCAGCAATACAATTTTGAAAAAAAAATATTACCAGGAATACATTTTTAAAAAAAAAATATTACCAGTAATAACAATTTTATTGGCATTAAATAATTCATTGAGGTTGATATGTTGTAAAGCAAACCAAACCAAATCGTTCTGATTGTGGTATGCTGATCCAATGTGCGTTGTGAGGACAGTAACACTATAAGATTATATAAAGTCAGGAACTCAAATCTAAATGGTTCATTAAACCAAAAAATTTGATAATGAATTTTTTTTTTGAAGACAGCCAAATTCACCTAATAAGATGAAATTTGAACAACAAACTGAGTTTAGCAAAGATTTTCTTGTTTTATATTGAAAATATTTTCAGCATATTCTTTACTAAAAGCATAACATATGGATTGAGATAAGCAAGTGAAAAAAATGAATTACCTCAGAAATTAAGAAGGAAATATTTTTTAAACATGAAAGTGGAAAGAGTGTTAGAAAAGTCAGTGCAGTGTATGAAATGTCCAAATCAATCATCTACACTATACTCAAAAACAAGGATGAATTAAAAAGCATTCAGGTGGCTAAGGAATAGCCAAACTTACCAAATCACATAGCAGTTTTATTGATGTGAGAAATTTTTTTTTTTTTTTTAATTAAAAGCAAGACAGCAATGCCACTAGGATGCAGGGGGTTACAAGGAGTGAAAGAGAATGAGTAGACTTTAGTGAGGAGGAATGAGGAAAGGACAATAAAGGAGCAGGGTTCAAGAAGACAGAAGATGGCAGTTGATGTTGCATTCAAATTTTTTGAAGATTGTAGGTGGTAGGGAAGCAAGAAATCGGAAGCGAGTTCCACAGCTGAGAAGTGTGAGAAGAAAAGCTTAGAATAGAAGTTGTAGTTGCATCTAGTTAATTCAACAGTAAAATGGTGAGACTTAGTTGCCAATCTAGTAGCACGTTTAAATTCATGTAGTCTAGGCATTGAGGGAAAATATTTGCCATGAAAATATTTGTAGAAAAAAACAGAGGTGAGGCAGTTTAGGGTTGATTGCATTACAGGTTGATTAAAAGAAAAAATAAATTGACAGTAATAATATAAGTAAATTAATAATTATCTCCAAAGGTCAAACAGTTGTTTGATGACCTTAGAACTCATGCTCCTAGTAGAGTGATTCTACAAAGCCAGGTTTTCTTACTTCAATGCATTTCAGCATTTATTTGTTCTTTATGTATATATGTATATATTTGCTATTTAATTTGTGTATTTCCATTTTTATATGATTTCATGTGGAGTTTGGGTGGTGATTTAAAATGATTAGTTTTATGTGCATTTCATTTATTCATACAATGAACAATTTGGTTAATGAATGGAAACTCCTCCCACTTAGAATGGATTACATTGATATATAGACCATACTTAAACTGTTGGGGTCAAGAACAGGCCAACTGAATCCCTATGACGAGAGGTAACTCCCTATATTTCACCAAAAAGAAGAGGTTACCTGTTTACCATACCTATATTTACATATTTGAGTCTTAGGCAAACTGGATATATCTAGCTTTGTATTGTTTATTAAAATGACAGAATCTATCGTTAAAAAACTTGGTTGATTGATTTTTAAAAATATTTTTTTACAGTTTATCGACCCTTTGTAGGTTTTTATTTAAAACAAAACATAGTAGTAGTAATAATTCTTTGTTTGCAAGTGAATATTGTTTTGACAATATTTTGAAGAATAATGATTTTTCCAGATATATGTCCTATTTAACCCAAAGCTGGAGGAGGAGATGGATTCTTATCTTTCCTAAGAGTATTTGTCAATAAGTGAATGTAACAAACCTGACTGGAATTTGAACTCAGTTCTCTGATTTCTCATTCAATTACAGCAAGTGCACATTCACAAATAACTTGGAAAAGATTGATATGACATAAAACAGTGCTACTCAAAACCTTAAATTTGTGGATAAATAGCTCTTTTATTAACTAGATGTGTTGAAATGTGTCATGAAAAAATAAATGATTTCGTCTCTTTCTCTCCTGCTGTTGTAGCGATGGACACAGTCTCCACTTCTGAGACTGAAAAACTACCTTCCTTCTCATTCCAGCCCTTTACATAGAGCTTAGTAACTCACCTATGCAAAACACCAACAAGCCAGCTACCAATCAGTTCCCACCTGCCCACCTCCACTCACTTTGGGGGTTTCAAGTTGACCGACCAACTCATTACACGCCCCTGATCTTAAGATCACAAAGCTTCTCAGTTCAAGAGATGGTCACGTCTGTCTGGTGACTGCGTCCGCATATATACAACTTGCACACTTGACATATTGGGATAACCACACATGCGAACTCGTTTGCTCCAAGGTGGCAGATTTCCAGATTCATCCCATGTCTCGCTGTCATGCTCGCACACCGTGCAACTCTGGGCAGGCCTCTTCTGCTTGGCACTCCTTCTAAGCAGGATGACAGGGTCCTCATCCTCGGATGAACTCTTATCCGTTGAGCTACCATCTGCCTCTGGACAGCTGGCCATGTTGACATCCGCTTCCAGGTAGAGTACTGATGTTTGAGGTAGAACTCAGTGGATCCGACTTTAAATACACCACTCGCGCACCATCTTCAGAGTCACTTTTCTGTTCTTTGCTCAGCTTGCCTAATACACAGCAAGGGCGCCTTTCAATCGCAGTGGAAGAATCCATTCAATCTTTTGTGATCTCGCATAATTCGCAGACCAGTTCCAACTTTTTCGATCCATTCAACCACAGACTGTCCACTCGTATCACCACTGAATTCGGAGATCAGTTTTATGTCGAACGGTCTTTCCGCCATCTTGCTGGAGTCAAAGTAAATGCAGAAATAGGTTGTGTTGGAATGTGTCACAAAAAAATAAATGATTTCATCTCTTTCTCTCCTGCTGTCGTAGTGACGGACAGTCTCCACTTCTGAGACTGAAAAACTACCTTCCTTCTCATTCTATTCTGGCTGTCAAAGCCTAAGTGATCATCCCCATCTTCCTCTAATGCAGAGCTGTCTGTATTTTCTGTACTTTTGTCAAGCAGATTTTTTAACGAAAAATGCATTTAGTATTTTATTAGTCACAATATAGCTGCTAAACATTCCATTTTCACTAGAGAACTCCCAATTAAAAAGAGCAAACTGCATTTGAAACCTAAAATATTAACATCTGCTGGCAGATTAGGTATTTTGACAAAGGTTTTAATTAAATTTTAAAAAAAAGAAAAAACTGTAATACTATCAAGTTGTAAAAGATTCAAGTAAAAATATTAACAAAGATCTAGCATATATTTGTAAAGAAGCAATAAAATTCATACCCAATGGTATCACTCAATCTATCAGAATAGAACTTAAACATACTTTAGTCATTTCTTCATGCCATCTATAGAAAAAAAACAAGTCCTTACCTATTATACTTGAGTGAGTACATAGTTTTGGGTCTGGCACCATTACTGTGGTTGCTTGATGCAGCCTGTCCCTGCTCCAAATTAAGGTAGTCCAATCTCTGAGCAGGAGAATTCTGCCAGCCACTCTGGTCAGGGTCTCCAGCTACAGAGCCAGATGATCCGGTCAACATGGCAGACTGGGGCAAATCTAACCGTCCAACAACTGATGCTGGGTGGTTACCAATCGAAGCTGATGTGGATGCTGCAGCAGCTGTCAAGCTGGAGCTCGAGGCTGTAGCTCCCTCTTCTTCTTTGCCATGCCGCTGGACTAATGATGAGGAAGATGATGATGATGATTGATGAGTTGATGAGGATGACTTGCTACTGACTGTTGGGTCACTGTTTGAGCTGAAACCAGCTCGACGCAATGCCGCTTCAGCAGCAGCACTACCAGCTGTCGACTGGTGACTCCCAGATTTACTGGACAGGTAAGTTGACAAACTTGGGGCTTTATACATCTGGTGAATTTCTTTATCAAGCAGCTTGTCCATAACCTGAAATATACAAAGCAAAAATAAAAATTATGAAAGATTGTCCTTTTATTTTAAAATAAATACAAGTTTTATCATTAATTGAGATTTCCAAAATGTAAAACCATTCCAGCAACTTAATCCAAAAGGAATAGGCATCCATGAAAAGAAAGCTGATAAAAATAAACAAAAACAGTGTCTAAAATACCTTCAAATTACAAAGATAAATATACTAAAAAAAGGCTTAATATGTGTTGCACCTACCAATATGATTATCTCCCTTTCTTGGAAAATCGAGTTAAATTCTGGCTTTTCTGCTGTAGAACAAACAGTAGATAAGCATAGTTCATTTTTCGGGCTTTCCTCCTCACGTTAAAAAACAATCTTGTGTCACAACCTGACTTCAGTGGGGGGTTTAAGGTAAATCTTGGGCTTTCCACCAGGATTCTTTCAGAAGAAAAAGACTTTCTCCAAGGGGGATAAACTATGTTCAATAGATTGGGTTGCTCTCAAGATGGACCTTTCCTCATAGAGGAAGGTGTTCTTGTGACCACTATTTAAGTGTACTTCTGTGAATGGCAAATACATGGAAGACCTCCTCCATCTCATAATTTCCTGAATGCTCCCGGAATCATCACCCTCATAAGAAATACAGGTGCTGGCCTAAAGGTATGGGAGCATCTAGATGCTGCATTCAGAAAAATCTAGATGGTCCAGTTTGAGGCCCCAGATCTACAAAAGATGTCAAAACTATGTTCAGGGATGGTCCTGGTTCAGCCCCACCCCCCTTTATATAGGGCCTTAAAACTCACATATCCAACAGACATCAGTCAAATTACAACTGATATAGGAACTGGTAGTATGGGACAATCCGTTGGGGTCCTGACTGACAGATTTCTGTCCAGTCTGCATTTCTGGGATTTCCTAAAAACAACTTAAAAGATGTCTATTAAGCTAGCTAGCTTAAATGTGAGAGATAAGGGTAAGGCTGCCTGCCTGCTCTGTGATCTCATCTTTCAGTGGCCGCAATCCAGGAGACACTTTGTTTGCAACGTCGATGCTTATGTGCTGTCTAGCGACTTTGTTGTCTAATAAGTATACAGGGACAGACAGCCCGAAAGGTGTTTCCTTGTTAGTCAAGCGTTCCCTGGAAGCAAGAGAGGACCTTGTTCATGTGTGCATGGAGGGCTGTTTGATTATGGTTGATTTTGCCATGAGCAGTGGTTCGTTTTAGGTCATTGTGGTTTATGCGCCCAATGATCATGGGGAGTGTATCGAATTTTTCAATCTGTTGAAGCCGTTCCTGATGGATTCATCATGCTTAGTCTTAATGTGAGACTGGAATACCATACTGGACCCAGAGATAAAGGGCGGGGAGTTTGGTTAATCTGACCAGTGAGTTTGGGCTTGTCAATAGATACCTGGCCGATCATCTGGGGGCGAGAGATGTGGACGTGAGCACTTATGTGGCTGTCTCTCCAGTTACCTGGACAGAATGTTTGTGAGAAGAGTCAATCTAGATTTACAAGATTGTCCCATGTTTCACTGTTTAGATTATTCAGACCATAGACTGGTATGTGCCCGGATGGTGTTTTGGCCTAAAATGGATGGACACTGGAAGTTCAATATATCCTTACTGGACAGGCAGGACTTTAAGAAACCACTGACTAGATTAGTACAACAGGAATTAGTGGGGGCACTTAATGGGAATAAGTGGTAGGAGAGGCTTAAGGATAGGTTTAGGTCCTTCAGCACTAAATATAACCAACGATAAGGCTAAAAAGGTGAAGACTGTAGAGGATAGTTTGTCTGGAGCAGTGGCTGGGGGTCCTTAGAGATAGCTATAGCTAGGCAGGTCCTGCCGCATGAGGCTAGCAAATGCTACCAGGTACTTAAACATAGGTTAAACAAGACGTTTATTGAAACTGTGACCATGAGTGCAGAATTGTGCAAGGAAGAGATCTGTTGAGTTTCGAACTGATACATTCGCAAGAACAATACCTCAGAGGGGTGTACTCTGAAGTCAACCAAGGACATGTGCAAGGTGTTTTGAGAGCCATTTTACCAAGGAGACTAGTCTCTGTGGCGATGAGTTTTGCAGTTATTTAGCTGACTTTCCTTGGCTTTTGACAACTGGAGTGGCTAGCTGCAAGGGTGAGATCACAGTGGGTGAAGTTCGCTTGGCATTGTAGGGGGACAGTAGTGGCTAATCTCCTGGAATTGATAGTCTGCCCTACAAATTGTACTTGAGGTTGTTGCATATCTTTGTTCCGATTTCAACTAGTGTTCAACAACTGATTCAGGCAGGAGTCCATCCATTTATCCCAGCAACCCTGAGTTTTCACTTATATGTCAATTGATTTGAAATGTACTACCTCTCAATAACATAACCTTCAGATGGAGCGAGGAAGATTTGCTCAACTATCATCAGTGTGACCTTGGCTTAGAGGAAATGGCTTTACACACATTCTACCAATGTCCTCAGGTGTGCCTTTTCTGGGATTATGTCAGCAAGTTGACAGCTCGTATCAATCCTGATTGGCTTGTGTCCATTGATCTTGCATATGCATGTGACAATGGGTCACCCCAGTTCACTAGGTTAAAACAAATGGTGTTTTTTTACATTGTTAATCATGATAAAAATGGTGGTGTGGACAGAAGGGAATCTTACGATATGAACGTTATTCGCATCAGGTTCTGGTTGTTTTCTTTAAGCATCAGTTTAGGGTAAAAATCAGATCTGATAAAGAGTGTTTGATATCAACAGATTTCAGTGAAAGGTGGATGTGGTGGCAAGCTTGGTTCATGTAGATGCGGCTAGCCTTGATTTTCTCTTAAGTCCCCTTAATGCAATGGAGCGGTTTCCTACAAACCCTCCTCTGCTTAAGTTTATCATGCTTGGTTTTCCTAGTTAATGTGAATGAGTGTTGCCTGGCCTGTTCACAACATTCTCTTTTGTTACTGATCCATGTTGAGATTTCCAACCTCCCCAGTTTCTTCCATACAAACTTATTCTTTCTTTGAGGACTCTACATCAAATACATAGACACTTCCAAAGGACATTTTTGCATGCCTTTGTTTACACTCCTTTTTCATACATGGACACTTAATTAATCAATTGCATTAAACATCCTTATTACCTTGGAAGGACTAATAATCATAATTTGATATTTCATTCCATCATATCCTTAAGAATCACTTATCCTTATTTTGCTAGAATATTTTTCTTGGATGTATTTTGGTTTTGTTGCCCAAAATAAAATTTGGCCTTATTTTCAATCAAATATATCTGTTTTGTTTTGTATTCAGTTTGTCAACTTACAATCTTCTGAACAATTTTGTTTACAGCCCCTAATTACTAAACACACACACACACTCGCAACAAATGTACATAAGTTTTCCTTTAAAAATTTTAAGTAACTAGGTCTCATTTGTGAATGCAATAACTGATGCCTATGTATCTTCCTTTTTTATTGAACCATATTAAAAACAAAAATATAAAAAGGAATAGTATAACCCAAATCATTTCATATGAATGTGTGAGCCTGATGTAGATTAGACTCACAAATTCATATGAAACATATTTCTACTTAACCAAAATAGAAAAGATAAAAGAAAAGTACTTTCATCAAACCAATTTGGTTTATTTGAAAAACAAATAAGCAAAATAATTAATAAACTACCTTGCTAAGTTTGGCCTGGTCATCTTTATAGTGGACCAACATCGTGATAGCAAGATCTCCCCGTTGTCGTCTTGTTCCTTCACAAAGAAGTGGATGTTCTGCTTCAGAAACATTTGCTTTCAATCCTGCAACAAGATCAAATAAAATAATTGTAATCCAATCATTTCAAGAATAAGACAAAAAAAACTAAATGTCATGTTTGGAATACTATCAATATCTAGCAGTTATTTCAATTAACAATAATTATAAAAACAAGTAGGTATTGTGTATACATTACCAATAAAGTAATACTGTACATAAAAATATATTTTATAACTACCCAAATTCAAATTCAGAATATTATTAGAAAATTAGTATTACTTTTTTCTAAATATAAGTAAATGAAGTTAATGCAAGAAAAAGTTATTTCAATGTCAGCACTTTAATTTTTATAAACTTGAGAGGAAAAGGAGAAAAAGTTTTACCCAAAGCAGCTACAGCTGCCTCAAATCCTAGCTTTTCATAACTGGGCAGTCGTGTAATCATCTGAACTGAAGACCTGTTAGGTGATTTGCCACTGTTACCACAAGCAGGACTTGCTGAAAAAGAAAAAAAAAAAAAAAAAAAAATCCAAGACAATAAAAAAGGAAAACAGAGTACAAGAGTGTATTTTCTTTTTTAAGTAAAACAAAAATGCAAGCAAGCAGGAAAGAAAAAAATTAAAGAAAGAAGGAAAGGTAAGATAAATAAAAACAAGAATATAGTGGGGAGAAGTGGATGTGAAAGAAATAAAAAATGAAAATGGATAACAGTACAACAATAATTAGAGAGTAACTTACCCGGGAGACAAAAGAGGTCAAAAATGAAACTGGCTAATGTCAATGGCAGAAGAGCCTCTCCTCTAGAGTGAAGTTTTCCTTCTTTCAATTGTTCAGCTTTTTCTCGTAGAATATTTAATTCTGTCTGACCTAAGGGAATTTTCTTCAACAGTGTCACAAGTTCAGACTCTTGGTAAGCTAATTTTACCTGTAGCAATAAAAATTCTAAGTTGTAAACCATAGACAAAGAGGAAGGACTACATGTACTTATAATTTATAAATGGTTAGTAAAGTTAATGTATGAAAAATGTTTTAGATAAAAGAACATTTTTAAAAAATGCTTGTATTTCATTCAGAAGCATGAGCTAGAGGTGATTTTGTACTCACTTTATTGTAAGAATTGCCATAAAAAAAAAGATATGTAAAGTTGCTACCATGAGAGTAAAAGTACTAGGCCCATTTTCAATTTTTATATACTCGTTAGAAATTCCTGAAAATGCATCTAAAGATTTCATAACTTATTGAAAATGCATATTCCAGTTCCTGCATCATTTGATTCTTCAGTCGTATAGCTGCATATGGAGTAAAAATTTCTAAGATGTTTCTCAGTTAGAACCATAGACTAACTGATATATCTGCTTGTGATGAATCTTTTCTATGCATAATGTACCACCTGATATAAACAGTTATCCTTGTTAACTTTTTAAATCTGTTTTCTCACTGTTATAGACAAGCGTATGGTTGCAAGAAAGAAATATGACAACAGCAGAAATAGATTTACGTGGTTTATTTCAACAGGAACGTGAGGGTTTGGGACAGCTACCTTGTGGTATAGTTCATAAACCAGCTTTCAGATCTAGGTCAATCTCTCATAGTAGTTCACATGTTGACGGTGGTTGATGCTCCCCTGCTGTCAGCTGCCGACCGTGACAGGTCTCTACGCTGGCCACCTGTGGACTGCCTGTTGAACTTCCGTGTGACCCATTTTATAGTGTTTTTTATGGCTTAACAGGCTCGAAAAACGGAAGCAAAGTATAATTAGGAGGGAAGCATTTTTTATTGGACGAAAAAATAGAACACTTTAAATATTATTTTATTTTTTTCGACAGAACACGGTGTCGGGAACATTTATAAATGAAGATAATGGTCATTTTGTGACGGGGTTTTGTCCCGTTCACATCCGGCTCTTGCTCTTGAGTATTTGCCTGTAAATCAGCCGAGATATGTCTTATTTTGTTTTATAACATTTAACTATATATATATATATAAAAATATATAATCATTTTAATTCTAATAACATATAAGAATTTTTGAAAGTTTGATCATTGATGTTTAGTCCTTTTTCAACAATGCACCCTTTTTCACCATATAATGCCATTATATATGATTTCAAAATAGCCTCTATAGTCAATGGTTGATGCTATATTCTTCATTGTGCCCTTTTAAAATTTTTTCATTTTGACATTTTTTGTTTTGTTTTTTTGCTTTTTGTTTTAAGTGTTTTAGAACATTCTAATATGAGGGTTTTGAAAAAAAGAGCACCATCCACAATTTCAGTAATATTAATTTTAATTAGACATCATTATCATGCCTTAAATAAAAGTGAACCAGATTCAATAAATTAAAACAAATCCAAAATTAAAGTTCTAAAAAGTATACCAACTATCCAGTCAATACTAGAAAAAAACAATACTACCAATTATCAATAAATAATAAAGACTCAAAGACAGACAGAACCTTATTAGATGCATCATGGTGTTAGTCCTTCAAGTCCAAACTGTTTGCCAATTTTAAAAGCAAGTGAGTGGCACTCAGGATCTTCTGATAGAACATTGCAGAGAAAAGCTGCCTTAGCTAGGGTCATACTTGCCAAGAGACTAACACCATTCTGCACTTTCTTCTTTTTTCCTGAAACAAACAAAACCATACATTTGAATATGCAGATTTGATCAGGAATTTAATCTGTAAAAAAAAAAAGAATTTGTCTTAAGCTAGATTAAACTTATTACTGGGTTTTATTGTTTGTAAAATTTGCAGTCCTGTTGCCAGATATTAAACAAAGAGATTTATTCTTTAAAAGGTTGCATGTCCTAAATCCATATGTAGAATCCATGGTTGATTATTTTTTGATTTTAGGCAAGTTTTTAAAACTGAGAACATTATTCTGTAACTGAATTAAATGATTACAAAAATACGATATGAATATCTGTTTGCTTTATTGATATGAGCAAACTTTAAAATTTTTGAATGATCTTTGATGTACATGGAAAATTTCTGGCATAATGTATATGTTATGAAATATTTTAATGAAATTAGTTTTAAAATTTTGAAAAAATGTTTGCCATGACATATAAAACAATGAAAAGTTAATTGTATCTCTAAGCCACTTAAAATTCTTCTAAAATGTAATACTTTCAATGACAATTTGGCCAATTTATATGAATAAACATTTTTTAATTTTTAGCAATGAAATAGTATAATTTCAGCAAAATTTGGACCATTTTTTCAATAGCCTGTGTTACTTTTTTTTGCCGTCAAAGAGGCTGTAAAAGTTTGAGTTTTTAAAAATTATGATTAAATTTTAATCAAACAGAAACGTATTTATTGAAAACAAACTGTTCAATGTTTTTTTGTTAAAAGGTTAAGGTTACATCAAATAAAATGTTTAATTAAATGACTTTAATCTAACTTCTACAGCTATTCAAAAATTCAGCAGCCCTCTATGTTGACATGTCCAAAAACTCATAAATCATTAGAATAAATTCAAAACTGGGACATAATCCATTTAAACTTTAATAATTTGATATGGAATGAAAACAATGTTTTTAACATAAATTTATTAATTTTATACTATTTGTTCCCACAGTCAACTTTGAGTGTGGTGATAAAAAGTAATAAAACAATAAAATGACATATGTTAAGGAAACCTATTAGAATTTTTATTACCTTTAATAAAAATGTTATTGGTGTTTTATTTTTCACTGTAATATTATTACAGTGAATATTTTTACAACGAAACTTACCTTACTTATAAACACATGTCAAATAATACAATTTAAAATGATAAAATTCAACTTTCTGAGTTACTATTTTTTATAACAACTTAAATAATTTTCAGCAATATTTAGCTAAGTCTTGTCTATCCTTTTTAACTTATTATAACAAAATAATCATAAAATTTCAGGCCATTAAATTAAATGGAAAGAATTTGATTTTATTTCCATTTAATACAGTGAAACAATATTAACTGCCAAGCTTATACACCAGTGGCTACAAAATATTGTCAGAGCATCATAAATTTTTCCCTGTTTCAAAAGTAACTTTGTTAGTAATTCTACATGTTAGTATTTTAATAAATGAATAAGTATTGAACTTTATTTATGAAATATTTCATGAATTTCTTTCAACCCGGGTTAACACCAAAAAACTAATAAGCATCTTGAATATGCAATGAAGAAGAAACAAAGGTCCTTTTATTGCACATTCAACCAAAATATAAATAAAAAAAATACCTTTTACAAATTTCAAACTAAATAGGCTTGTAAAATCTAGTTGATGAATCTAATTAAAATAAAGTAAGTTCCTATTTGATATTTTTTTTTAAAAACTATGAAATTTATTTCATAAAATTTTCCATCTAGTCTGAAAACAAAATCATAGAGTTTTTTTTAAACTCTATGATTTTATTTCATTTTTTATCTACATTTGCTCTAGAACAAAGTTGCATTTCCTGTTAATATTTAGAAAATAAAAATAAGAAGGGGATAAAGGAACAATAATAATAATTTCCTTAATTAATTTAATATCTGCAGATTTCAATAAAAATTTCCTTCAAAATTACAAATTTAAAAATTACCTAAACTTCTTTTTAAAATGCCACAGGTATGAAAATAGGACTTGAACAAATTAACTCTTCAAATTTTGAATATTAAAAGACTGAAAGACACTTGCTTAGTCAAGAAATAGGTATTTATATACACAAAAAGCAATCAAATATTTCATAAGAAAGAATAAAATACATTTGTATCCATAAATTATTGAAGAACAAATTTTGTCATTCATAATAAATAATTTAAAAACAATGTTTAGGGAGAAAAAACATTGATTAACAAAATTGTTTTATTTAAACACATCTTCACTTCCAAATGGACTTCATTTTTGGATAACACATCTAGATGATGCCCAATTTCTAACCATGAGTGCTGGAGTATCCCCTCACCAGTAATGGATATTATTCTTTTCTTGAGATCATTGAGGTCTTGAACTTTTGTCTTTAATGTAGCCCGATAAGAAGTTTATAGGGGTTATACCTAGTAACAAGGGAACTGGATCTACTCTTCCAATCCAGCAGTTTGGAAACATTTCATTGAAAAACTCATGAACAGCTATTCCCCAATGAGGTGGTGCACCATTCTGCTAGAAAATAACTGTTGACATGGTACAAACAAATTCTTGTAAAAGATCAAGGTAACTCATGGATATAATAAATCATGGAAATTGTATAGACAATTGTTGGACACCCTGTATATTACTTACCTTTAGGAGGTTGCATGTTGTTGGTTTCTCCTAAAAAATCTGGAGGATTGAGCAGAATCTCTTCTGATAATTTTTGTGCTAGTTTACATGCTTCTTTGTTATGGCCATGAGCATGGAGAGCCTCAGCACGAGCAAACCAAATCTGTAAATATCAATAGAAAAAGTAAAATTAGAAAAGTTAAGTGGTAAATAGAATCATAATTTGTTTTAGCACAAAATCTGTATATACATATATTACTCCCTACCGCAAAAATATAAGTACTATTTATACACCAGATGTTAGCCATCCTTTATGTTAAACAGAAATGTTTCAGTCATAGTAGAGCCAGATGAAAGAAACAATTTTCTCAATATAGTACAATAAAGTGTTCTTTGATATAATTCAGAAGTCAAAACCAATTTGTTTTCTATCAGTTCATTTATACATATTTTTGAGTATTAGAACGTGAAGAGTTGCTTAAAAATTAAAAATCCAATCAGTAGTTTTTTTTCTTCATGTCAAAGGAGTTAAACAACACAAATTTACAAAAAAAAAAACAAATCTTTATCTTAAAGTTATTGTACTTTTCATTATTTAATAGATCTTTGTCCACATCAACTATGCCTTTAAGAAACTTGGGCTATTAGAATCAAGAAAACAGTCATGAATAAGGATGGTCCTGCATTTCCAATCAGCATCATTGACATGATGCTTCACGTCGCATATCTGTACTCTTCCATAACCCACAGCCTGCCACTTGACTATTGATAAAAGCAACAGCAACAGTGAAATTGGACAAGTCATCTGGCTTTGCATAGCAGACTAAAAAGTATTTCAGTACCGTGCTTTATGGTAGCTAATACTGGATGACATATGCCAGTTACATAAAATTGACCTGGAATGATATCCATCTCTGCTGCTTATAAATTCACATATTTTTGGCATTACATTTATAAATTGGAATTGCCAATTCCCAAAAATTTAAATCTCCTTGTAAATTTTTTTTGGCTGCATACCAACATACATCATTTTATGTCAGATGTCCAGAAACGCTATCATGTCAGCATTTTGATTAGTTTGCATTTTATAATAGCAGTGCTTTTATTCCATATTCTGGTTTTTAATATTTCCAAAATTTTGTTGCATAAAAATTTTTTATTATCATTAATTTTTATTACGACTCTCAGAGAATGGTTCCTTCAAAAGGCAGCTTTTCTTTTTTGCTCCTGGTAAGTCACTGTCACTTCTATTACAGTATAGCTAGCTAGCCAGGACACCATCTGACAGGCCAACATGTGTTCAAGGAGTCATAAAGGATAAGAAAAAGCAAAACCAATAGCTGTTGATTAGCAGACAACACAGGAAGCAATCTCAGATTTTTGTTCCACATTACAGTTTTGCCTGCTACACTGACAGATCAAACTACTAAGTCACTTCAGACAATGAACTTTGGCCATTAACTTACAAGATAAATAGATATTTTCTACTAAGTTCCCATTGATTCTTTAGGAAGTTTAACTAAAAAAAAAAATCATTAAAAAAATATAATGGTGGCATCAAAGAACTAATTTTTTTTTCTTTTTACAGCTTATCAACCTTTGTGGGTTATTTAAAGCTGAAACATTTTTTTGGACTGTAAGAATTTTTTTTGAGTGAATATTGCATTAACATTTTGGAGAGAACCATTAATATCATAAAACTAATTTTTGCGGTACAGTATTACTTCTTAAAAACAAGTTAAGAGTATTTCTTTCAATATGCGAAATTGAGAAAAAGTTCCACAATCCATCAGACACTTTTCTGTTTACAACTAAAAATAATTTAGTGTGACAGCAGTTACAAAAAGAAATTAGGATTGTGCTGTGATAACATTCTATAACAATAGATCAAATCAATTGATGACTGAGTGTATATTTGTCATATGGTTTGCCTGTATGCACATCACCAGTGCACCTAGAGATGCAGGTTACTATATAAATTCATAACCATATCAAATTGAAATTATATTAGATAGAAAATAAATATATTTCTTATTCTTGATGTTTATTCTATATGGATGTGGGTTATGAGCAGCACCCTATTGCTAATCATTAATTACAGTATTATATAAAAAGAAAATGAGAAATAATTGCATGTACTTACATCTTGTTTGCTATAAACAGTTTTCAAACCAGAAAAATAATTTGGTTCTTCAGATTTGTCTTTTCGCTTCTTTTCTGTTTCTGAAGACTTAAGGATAGCTTTTGGGTCATAGAAATACAACTGGTACTCATCGCTTGATGGCTGGGACTCTGCTGACAAATTGGGTTCCAAGTGAGGAGAATCACCTCCCGGTGTGGTATGACTGGTGGACTTAGCACCATCCTGGCTCCCAGATGTGCCCGGCAATGAAGCATCCGAGTCTCCTGCAGTATCCGACACAACCACAGAGAATTTTAGACTATCAGAAAAATTTTTATCATAGATGGCACAAGGCCTAAATTCAGAACTTCCTATACTATCCCGGTGAACAGATTTATTCTTACCACTGCTGCTACTGGAGTTTCTTGTTGTCTCTGTGTCAGATTTGTCTGGTTCACAGAAGCCTTCTGAACCAGAGCTATGAACAGGATCAGCATTGCCCACATCAAGTGTTACTAATCCTGGACCTGAGATATTATTGAAAAAATAATGAGGCTCCCTACGATCAGCACCTACAGTTGGGTCAAAACCCAAAGCAGACCGTTTACACCGAGTGGAATTGTCAGAACTGATGAGGTCCTGGGAACATACAGCCACAGTCTGTACCCGGGACAACTTCTTAGTTTCTGTTTCTTGAATACGACTTATATGGTACTGGGTACCAAAACCTTCAGAATATGTGACACCTAAAGAATAAAAAACAAGATATGAAAACATTATTATCATCAAAGATAATAAAAAAAACTTGTTCCTTGTGTTTAGAAATTACAATATATCAGGGAGGCCATAAATATTTTGTTATGTGATAATATAAGGTAAGCTAATATATTAGACAATTACTATTGTTTAGTGGGTGAGTTCTATCTTCAATGGGTGTCCAATTCTCACATGCTTGTGCCAGATAATGAGCTGTAAATGAAGAGAACATTCTGAAGAAGCTTTCTCTAGAATAATGAATAACTTATAAAAATAAATTAACTTTATTTGAAATGTTACATGTGTGTGTAGTGTTCTGAAAAATTGTTTATCAACAACAACGAAAAATTCACTTATCTCAACATTATGTTACTTTATTATGTGGTTGATGTATATATATTGACAATGAATAGAACTACAGTCTATCAAATGATTAGTAGGATTACTTACCACTACATCACTGACATGGACAAATAATCTTCTATTATAATACATAAAATAGAAAATAGCAAACTTTTCATATAATAGGTCTCATATTCAATTAACCAGACTAATAACTAAAGTATGAATGAACATTGCCTACAATAAAGAATCTTATCACTTTCCCAAATTTACTAAAGTCAAACAATGAGCCCTATAGCTTGATGACACTGTAGTATCACACAGTGTAACAGGTAGTCTATCATAACCATCACACCGATTGATTTGTTTCCTACGGCTTATTGCAGGTTATTTAAAGCCAGAAGATATTTTTTGACTGTGAGAATTTTTTAAATTATTTTTTAATTAACCAAATAGCTGCGGGGAGAAGAGGTGAATTCATACCTTTCTCAAAGGTAGTTGCACATTAGTGAATATAATGAACCCAACAGGAATTGTAACTCAGATTAAAAATTCCGAACCATTATCCATTACACCAGCTGCACATCCAAGCTTACAGCACCTAGTATTTCCAAGTGGTCACTTATCTAAGTACTGCTTAACTTCAGTGATAATATGGGAACCTGAACATAACTTCAGTGTTACAGCTCAGTTGTCAAGAAATCATTAGAGCAATCAAGAAATATTATGAGTATATTTTGTGTGCAGAGCGTTAAAAAAGAAAAAAAAAGATTATTGCAAATATCAAGTTATTCACCATGAAAAATGCTTAGTTCATGATCACCGATTCTAGAGATAAAAATCAAGCTATTGACAGTCACAAGGTGCTGGTACAATGGTTTATTTGTTGGTAGCTGAGAATTGCAAACAGCTAGGATTAGGAAATTTTGTTAAGGCTAAGATGGCTAAATTGTGACAATGACATCAGATCAGAGACATTATCAACATAGTCACAAAAGAACAGCAGGAAAGTGGATAAGTTAAATGTTGACACCTTTTGCAGTTCCCATTAATGAAGCTATCAAAGTTTTGTAACTTTGATAAAGTGGTATTGTAAAGAAAAAAATTGTGATATACCCCAAAGGTCAAAACACTTTTGTGTTATATGCGTTTTTTGTAGAGGGAAAAAAAAAACTTCTCTACTGAATGAAGTCAGTGAGCTCATGTAAATGAGCTACTTTTAACTAGGTACCTCCACTAATTTGGTATAAATTTTCAGTACCTAAGGTTGAAAATGAATTTTAAAAAAAAGAAGCATTCTTGAAGATTTCATTTTAGTTGTTATTGAAAGCTAAATGATTAAATTTACTATTTCCAGTAAGCAAAATACTCTGGTGTATTTCAAATAGAAGTTATATAGATTGGAATGTCAATTTTTTGCTCACTTGCATAAAATCAATTACAAGCAGCCATTTTCCAGATTTCAAAACATCTGTAAACAAAATTTAATTATCAGTTTTAAAAAATCTTCAAAAAATAATATATATTTGTGACATGTTATTTGGAGAAAATTAGCAAATTTAAATTTACTTATAGCATAAAAAAAAACAATCATTTCTTAACCATGGGCCGTTTTTCTGACATGCTGATTGATGTAATTGATGAGCTAAGGTGTTGACAGCTATGTATGGATGACCAGAACTGACAAATTTATGAAATCTAAGAACACATTTTTTTTTAAACTACCTAGTAATTTTTTTTACAAATTCACAGATTTTCATCAATTATCTAATATTTTATTGAGTTTTAGTTACTATAGTGCTATAGCCCTACATTTGAAGTTGCTTTCTGAAAAAATAAAATTTAAAATACTACAAAAAAATAAACTGAAAAAGTAGAAAACTACTAACAAAAAAAAAAAAATAATAAAAAAAATAAAATAAAAAATATTCTTCTTGGTCATTTCTTCTTCTAAAGTTAAAAAAATTTACTCAATTGAAGTATGGCCTGCACTAAAATAAATACATTAAAAGAAAAATATTTAGTGAAATAGAAATTAAAAAAGTAACTTATTTTAAAGTTTTAAAACTTTGAAAAGATGATATGCATATGAATAAAAAACTGCAGACAAGCAAATTTCTCAGTAAAGTTAGGTCAACTTTTACAACACATGACCTTTTAATAATAATAATGCCATGTATAAACTACCATACAGACAAAAATAGAAACGTTTAAAAAAAAAAAAAAAAAAAAATTATTTTAGAAATCTTTGTGCAATACAACTTATATTAAGCTTTTCAATTTTTGATTTGTAAACAGTTTCCACTTAATTACAATATCTCCTAAAAGAAAGGAAATAATTCAGAATTTGGAATGATTTTTTTAAATTTTTAGAATTAAAATTTTAAAAATAAAAACAATTCTTGTAAAAGTGTTCTTAATAAATCTTATTTTTATTTATAAAAATAAAATTTATTAAGAACACTTAAATCTTCTCTAATTAAACATCATAGTTTTATTGCATTTTTAGTTTATAATTCGGTGCAGATTTTCAGAAAAACAGAAGAAGTTTGAAAAAAAAAAAAAAAAATTTAAACAAAATTTTGAATGTGTTAGTAAAGAGTAAAAAGATAATTAAAAAATACTGTTCAGAATGACAAAACATTATGACAATAAAACATAATGAAAAAACATTTTGACAGTAAAACTGTTTTTATAAAGTTTGGGACCTTTTTTCATCATGCTATGCTGTTTTTCAGCAAAAAGTGGAGCTACCTACTTTTAACCAATAGTGGTTCAAGTGCCACTATGAAATGGATTGCATAGAAAAATAGGCTAATCTATTTCCAGAATAACAAATCTTAAAAGGTCCAACAAATTGCTTTAAAAGCAATTAACTTTTGGGGGAAAACTTTACAAGGTTGCCTATTTGTACAGTGGACTTTGTAACTTTAAAAGGAATTACATTCATTCTTTTATAGGTATGACACATAATAAAGCTCTCTAAATGTGCATTTCCTCTGTCAATGTTGAAAGGAAAATGGGCACTAAATGAAGGATGATTGTATACCAAAGGATGTCATGTATGAAAAGCTGGCCACAGGAAAATATCCGACAGATTAAGATAAAAGTATGTGAAGAGGGTACTTCAATGTGGTATAATGGTTACCAAGTTTGTCTCGCTAGATCAATTATGACTGATTAGTGATCCAGATCCTCATTGGATGGCCCATACTTTCAGCCTTTCACATGAAAGCTACGCTTACTAAATTGCTATAAGAATGTAATGAGATCAGCAGGAATGTGTGCCATGAAGAATTCAAAAAACTGACTAGCCCTGAGAGCATATGAAACAAATTCCTTTTAATTTAATTTTTGCTTTCAAATATTACTTCACTATTGCTTTAATTTTCAAAATAATTATTTTTCTTTATTATAACCATTTTATTTGTTAAAGCAATATAATCTAAATCTGTGATAATTTAATGTTCAAAATCCATAATTAAATTTAAAAATGTCTCTGAAAGAAAAAAAAAAAAAAATACATGTAAAATGCAAGGTTGTTTTTATACCATATTTCATACAAATTTATTTATTACTTCAAAATTTAATTAAGATCTTCATTTCAAAATTTTGAAAATGTAATTCTCTTACCTGGAATATCATATTCTTCCCAATCAAGTGAACATGCTTCAACTGCAAGTTTGAAACCAGTGAAACTTTCTATGTCCAATTTTTTAAGACTTACAGGAGAACTCCCAAAGCCTGCCCCTCGGTTTTTTCGCACTTTGTCAATTGATGACATATGCCAATCACGGAACTTTGCACACAGATCATCTCGTTGGATGGGAGACAATTTAGGATTGAGGGCTGCCAAACGCCACAGAGTAACAATTTCATCACAAAAGCTTGCTGCAGCATGTTGGGAAGCATTTGCACTGCTGTTACTATTACTACGATTGCCATGGTTACCATTGCCACTGTATGCACTCGACAGTTTAGTGGCAAACCACCAAACTAAAATCTGAAAAAAGTTTAAGCATTTACTCCTTATACAAGTTTTTAAAGCAAAACATGCATAGTTATTTATAATGAATAGGAACCCATAATTTTAAAATTCAAGCCTCAATATTTTGTTAGGATCATTTATTACTACTAATTTTTTATGAGAGGGAACCAATCACATCCCCTTGTTTTAATTTTATAACACTGTATAAAATTTTATCCTTTTGATAGTTTTTCTTATATCATTTCAATTATATTTCTCTCAAGGTAATTTTTTTTATTTGCTTTAACAAACCTTGGTATTTGATTTTCATACAAAAATGAATCTTCTTTCCGTATTTCCTATGCCTGATACTATCAAATATAATGTATAAATACATTATATTTAAAGAGAGTTAAATCATTGTTTTATTAAAAAGTTGTAAATAATTTGATAAATCACATTTTTCTTTACTGGTTTAGCAGAAGTGCTAATACCATCTGCCAGAGAAGGAATGAGAGTAATGGTAAAAAAGAAAAGTTTTCACGCTTGTTATTTATATCACTAAATCATACATTTCTAATGGTCATAAACAAGGACTGGAATTGGAGTATTATTTTTATTAGAAAAAGCGTTGTCAACTATTATCTATTTAAATAAAGTGCAGTGTACGTGTCCAACCATTTTTCAATCTCAGTGAATCATATACAATTTGAAGTAACAGGTAGTAACTACTGTAGTTACACGCAATTAAAAATTAAATAAAATAACTCATTTAAAGTTAAATTTAAATATCAAACAGAATGAAAGGTTAAAAAAAACAATTCTTTATTAAAGGTTTAACTTTAATTTCACTTTTTGCTGCAATTGCAATTGATAATGTCTAATTTTAAAACCATAACTATAATTTTAAAGTGGGGCACAGTATGTTGCTCATGTAATTTTTTTTTTCTTTTTCTAGCATTCATACTGTGACATATTCAAAATTTTATATATTTCAGGTTCCCTAACGTCTAACAGTGACTATGTGAAGAATGGTGATTTTAACAGAAAATAAAAATTGCGTGCAAAATAAATGTAAACAAACTACAGAGTTCGATTACATATATGAAGAAAGATTATGCCGAATTAAGGTACTGAATAAAGATAAAATAATTTTATTTCTAAATTCTTATAACTTTTATATACATAGGATGCTGAAGGTAAATGGTCAAAGGCTCAAAAGCTCTCTACAGGAGCTGGCCCAATGTCCACCCAAAGACGGGTTCTAGACTAGTTAATAATAATTTTGAATAGTATTTAACAGATCATAAAATGGAGTAATGAGTTAGAAATTTGATTTTGCCTACTACAAAGCCATTACCTTCTCACAAGTTAGTGGTTAAAGCAAATGAGCATTTACTAATCTTTGCCAAGATAAAAGGGATGCAATTTTAAATTTCAATGACAACTAATATTTTATTTCCTAACCATGCTGTCTACTCATTGATATAGATTAAAAATCAACTGTAATAAAAAGCAACTGAAAAATTGAGGTGAAAGTAAATATTTGTCAGAATTAATACAATTAATAGAATTAATATAGGACAGTGTTCTTTAAAGAATGTGGGAGAGGACTTTCTTTTATTTTAATAGATTAAATTTTATTTTACATAAATCTGCCACATCCCTTGAGTGATGTTAGATATGCTAGGTTCTAGTTAAGAGAACAAGTTGAGAATTAGGATAAAATATGTGGGAGAAATGAAGTTTTTTAGCATTTGATAAATAAGAACTTACTTGTTCACATTGTAACACCTCATCAGTTAAAATTTCAAGCAGTGGGACGGCATTGTTATCACTACGACGAAACATTTCCCGCACAATAGAGAGCAGATTCCACATGCCTTCTGGTTCACGACCACGCAATGGTCTCAGTAAGGATTGCCATTCTGCTGCAGCTGGTGGTGCTGACGATGACAAATAATTCACATCACTGAAATGAACAGGCAAGCAAAAATTTATAATTCCGATAATGCAATTTTTTAGATTATCATGAGAAAATATAGTTATATAATGTAAATATTGTATTTCTGAGAAGTAAAGTAAATATTTCCCTTTTCCAAAATATCTTAAGAAAAGCAAAATACTATAGTAATTAAAATAATTACTTGAAAAGAATCAATAGTGAGAATTTGTTTTATGAATTATATTACTAAAAATTTAATTAGCAAAAAGAAGTTAAGTTTTAAAACTTAAGTCACGATTACTAATAAAAATTTTTTTTTCATTTGTTTCAATGTCACAATAATTGCCAAATAACTTTAATGCAGAGGTCCCCAAATTTTATGGAATCCTTGATTCCTCATCAATTCAGATATATATAAAAATATCAATAATAATTATTTTTTTTTATTTACAGATAGAAATTTCTTTGCTCATATTTTCAACCATTCAGTATTATTTCAGGATAAAATTTCTTTCAGCTTTGTTATTTCTTTTTCACTTTTTCTGCTATACTAAATGTGTTTATTCAAACAATTATAACAATAATGAGAAAATCTTCATAAATAATAAGGATAATATTAAACACATTAAAAATAAATTAATATACCTTTTTATTGAATTGGTTAACATCATTAATGGGAAGGAGTTATTCGATGAGCAGTAACAAGAACATTGATATTTGGTTGGAAAAAAGTGTTTTTAGGCATTAGTCACGACAATTTATTTCTTGCCACTCCCAACCCTACTGGCATTTATCAATTCCATTTTGAACCTTCTGGTATTTATCAAACCCCTGGATAGTCCCATCAACACTCAGTGTTTAATACCAACAATTTTGGGGACCCAGTTTTAATATCAATAATCACCCAAACAATAGGAATCTAAAGAATGTACAATGATGAAAACATACTGGTGATGAAAACATACATTGCAAAATAATATTTAAAAGATTCATTAAAACTTGTAGTGAATCTTTTAAATGTTATTTTGCAATACTATTAATCATCAGTATCCTTTTATAGTTTCATTATTTCTACATTCTTTAGATTTCTAATGTTTGGGTGATTTAATTTAAAATAGAATAAAAATGTAAAACTTACCTAAAAACCATAGGTGAAGGAACACAAAATTTGACAAGAGTTTTCTTGATATTCTCATGTAAAGTATCAGGATCCAAGCACCATGATGTTTGTTCACTGGCAGAAGGTCCAGCTGTAGGATCTGGAAAAAATAAAAGAGATACTCATTATAAAATGAAAAAATAATGGCCAAAGTAATTCCCTAAATCTTACTTCAAGTGGAAAGAAATAAAACCTTTTTCTACTTCTGCATAGCAAAGAAAGACAAAGAGAGATCATGAAGAAGCAAAAGTTACTTAGAGCAAAAAAGGCAGAAATGTTGTGGAGAGTCATGATCAACAATGTCCTGAAAGATTATATAATCTATTTTAATCATGTTTTATCAGCCATATATAAAATATATTGAGGACACATGGCACAGTGGATAAAGGCGTTGGTTAGATCCAGTGACAGGACCCAAAGAGTGTGAGTTCAATACCCGGTTAAGGCAGTGGAGAACTTTCAGAGGGAAATTAACAGGATAACTGATAACTGACATCCATCAAACATGGCACGTAGAACTCAAACAGTCTACCCCAGTGGGCGAAGTTCGACATTCCAACCACCTGAAGAAGGCCGGAGTATACAACGGCCAAAACATTGTGATAAATATGGTGACAAAGATGAGGACAACAGTCCAAATAATGTACATAATATCTCATCTCAGAAATAGAGACAGACTCTAATCTAAACAGATTAAAAAAAAAATGGAGCCTTATATTTCTACTTCCATAAAGTCATTTAAATATATATTATTAAATTTTATTTCAAACCCAATTAAAGTCTTTATAGCAATTATAAAACACTGTTAAATGACAAATTACAAGGAATGACAATATTTGAAATGAGATTATACAAGTGATTTTATGAAGCCTCTCATCTATCTTATTTGAATAAAAAATTCTTTAAATGTTATTTTTCAAATTTAATATCATTAATTTTATGTTCCGGCTCAGTGAAATAGAATCTATGTTAATGATTGTATGATTTTATTGTTTTCTGAAAACAGTTTAATGTTGATATTCTATATGATTTATGTCAGAAAATTAAATATATAAAAAAATATTTAAAATTTGCATATTTTAAAGAACTTGTAACTAGAATATATAAGCTTTGTTTTCATTTCTGACATTTTGTGAATTTTATGAGAGTAATTTTTTAAAGGTGTTGTAAAAAATATTTTTAACTTTTATTTACATACTTAATCTCTATTTAAAGATTAAAAATAAATTAATAAATTTATCAAAGTGACTGAATCTATATTTAAAAAAAAAAATAAATAGAAAATAAGTTTTAATACTTGTTTTAAATTCAATATTTTTTTAAAATTTGGAACCAGTCTGAAAATTTTACCTGCTATATACAAAATAATTTTCCATTAACTTAATTAGCTACCAGAGTTCATGCAACAAAATTAAACATCTGAACTGTAAAAATTAAGAAAAACATTAACCATATCATAAAATCTATAAAAAATGAAATAAAATAAATAAGAACTGTAAATGTAAACAATTATACAGTGTAACATTTCAATGTGATATGTTAATTCATTTGCTTCCAAGACCTTATGTGCTTAGACATTTAAAAAATAAGTAAAATAAAACATTATAGAAAATACAGCTTGAAATGTCTGCCTACCTTATTAGCATAAATCTGTCCATATATTTCACCTCAATCTAAATCAAGCAGCCATAGTTGAAGGCATAAATTTTCAATTTCTCCTATTTTATACCTATAAGATAGGAGAAATTGAATTTTTATCTGTTAGCCTTCCCATTCAATTCTAATCCCATAGCATTGCAGGTAGTTCTTAACACTAAATTTTATGGAGAAAAAATTCTTAAAAGTTTACTATCAGAATAGTTTATAGATGAATAAAGGAAACAATTGATTTATGTATTAATTTATTCAATGTTAAAAAGAGAAAGAGAATAACATAACTCACCTGGAGCACCATATACTGTATTCATAGCAGTTTCTTGGGATGAAAGCAGTTCATCTAAAAGCTTTTGTGCTGTAGGAAGAATCTGGAATTAAGAAAATAATTATTCACAATTGTCATCTATACCAACAGATGGAGGGAGATGGAAATATATATATATGAGTACTTACTACAGTAAATTGTCCTTTGGAACAATGTCTTAGTGGATAAAAATGTTGGTGACAGTGGTTATGAGTTCAATCCCTGGGTTGGGCAGTGTGTACTTGCATTCAGTGAAAACAGGCAAGCAATAATTGACAGTACTAAATAAAATAAGAACTAGACAATATTCCTAGACATTAGTAATGGAGCAAGAGTAGTCTAGCCCTGTAGATTATTCTCTGTCAGTTATCCAGATTGCTATACATCTGAGTAAGGTCAGAGGGTATAACAGCTGAAACACGATAACAACAGCAAAGATGAGGACAATAGTATGAATATAAATAATATAAATAATTCAAATATTTCATTGAATTTTAGGTTCTTTTGTTTTATAGTTTTACTTAAGAGGCTTTTTTGTGGAATTGTTAGAAAATTACAAATAAATTTTAAATCTACTATATTTACTGCTCTCATTTTCTGATAATGCCATGTATGTATATCCATATTTACAAAAATCAACATGTTTATGTACACGGAAAAAAAATAAAAAATTCTTTTTAAAATACTGGAGTTTGGTAAGCTATTCCATTTATGATTATTAAATTGTTTTTATTTAATAACAATATCACTTGACTGCTACAATATAGAATTTTTTTAAAAATTTAAAAGTTTATAAATTATTCTAATGAAAATTTTAAAAAGTGAAAACAACTCTTGTAAAAATTCATTATTCATAGAAGAAGAAAAAAAAAAGATTTGTAGAATTTGGGTGTCCTGTTTAAACCCCAAAATATGATAATTTAACATAAAGACCTGCCCTTATTACATAAATATTAAGTGCTACAAAAAATAATTTCTGGAAATTTCATAAAATTAAATAAGTCAGGGATAACAGCTGTAAAAATAAAAAATATTTTTTACCAAGTTTATGAAAAAAAAAAAAAAAAAAAAAAAAAAAAACATTTTGAAAATAATTTAATTCTTTTGCGAGTAAGTATTGAAAGTATCATTAAAATAAGACAATTATCTGATTTTTGCCAGAATTTTCAAATCAATATGATTTTCAGTGTAAAAAAATGCCCAAATTTCCTGTACAAACTTATGTTCTAGAAAGGTTCCAAAAAGGATTAAAAAAATTATTTTGACATCAAAAAAACCCTTTAATCTTTCCTCCTAATTTTGACAATAAAACTTTGTTTTTAGTAAGTTCTAGTCATTTTTTCATCATGTATACTCATTTTTAGTGTGTGTGTGTGTGTGTGAACGCTGAGCAGTGACAGTCTACTTAATGTTTCAATGAAACCTTCAGGCCACCATATGGATTGGGTGTTAGCTTGACTAATTATATATGTTGTCAATGATGCATTACATTATAGGTAGCAAGGTCTATTGTATTATCCTAATGGTTATTGGGTAAGTGATAACAGTTATGGTTTAATTACAATTGTTCTAGACAATACATATTGCTTAACAGTAAGCTTTAATATACTCGGTATTTACCCAACCTCCCCATGAAGTGTGATGTCACAAGTCCAGTTTAATGTGGGACTTTCTGAGCTTGTAGACTTGGGCAAAAATTCCCCATAGACCCCACACACATGGGGTCAGGTAACTACCTACCTCCCCAGACGAAAGACTGCCCTTTGGCATAGCCTCGTCTTGGTTCTTCTCTGCCTTCAGACAGAGAGATCAACAAGCAGAGCCAGACAGCGGACTGCCCAACTCTTTTGAGCTTTAATACACTTGGTATTTACCCAAGGTCCCAACAAGTGGGATGTGGCACGAGGTTGGTTATTTTACATGGGGCATCCCGAGCCCTTGGGTCAGGCAAACATTCCCCGTAGACCCTGTATACACAGGGTCAGGTAGCTTTCTACCTCCTCAAACCAGACTGTGCCCTTTGGCATAGCCTCATCTGGGTTCCTCTCTGCCCGGAGGTGGAGTGGTCAACAAGCAGAGCCAGACAGCGGGCCACCTGACTCCTTCAAACCTTAATATATTCTGCATATCAGCAGAATTTTCCTGAATACATGTGTTTAGGACAGATCCATTAATGGGGGAGATGGATACAAGGCTATGAGTAGGAATAATTTTGGATTCCAATGCGGTTATTTGTAGCTATTGTAGTATGTTACATTATCTGCATTGTATATAGTGTGTATATTTGCATTTTTAACAGTGATATTTACAAGGTATTCATTTTTAGTTTTTGATCTTTAAGTATTAAAAATTTGTTTTTGTGTCTGCATAAGTTTGGATTGTTATTTTATTAATTTGTGTTAGGGAAGGTGATTATAGTTATTTTCTTCTCCCTACAGAGTTTAGTTGTGGGATTTATTGTTGTAGGCTGATGTTGTTTTCTTTATTTTCCATGATATTTTTGGTGTATTTTGTTTTAGTTTCCCACATGTTTAAGAAAGAGATTTGTAAAGGATCTTTTGTGCATGTAATTTCTGTTTCCAGGATACTTTGGTTACTCCTATGTATATTTTTTTTGTTATCTGCTGGCTTGGCAGCAGATAACAAAAAAAAAAAAACATTGTTCTGCAAGCAATTGCTGTTTAAGGGACATTCATTCTTTGCTCTGTGCTTGTCAATTTCATTTGTGCAATGTGAGTTAGCTATTTTTCTGTTGTGCTTTTTTATTATTTGTGTCATGTTCTTGGTGCAGCTGTAGCTGATTTTTACTATTTCCCTTTCTATTGAATATCTTGTGCAAAGTGCTTGATGGTGGCATGGGCATTTGTGCACGAGGCTAAGGATAATTTTTTAAATTTTTTCCTTTGTTTGCTTTTATGCTTTTGTTGTATGTTGGTCTAAACCATATTGCATTTCATTTTTTTTTTGTTGACTGTTTTGTTTTATTCAATTAAATCATGACTATGAAACAGATACTTGAACTGAATAGTTTTTAATAGCATGGGCCAAAAAGAATACTATATATCTACATTATCATAACCATAATAAATGGCACTACTATAGTCTTAGCTCTTATAAACATTCAATGTTATTCTGATGTTTGTACTGTAAAACCTTAAAAGAGAATTGTGTAATAAAGTTTTATTTACAAAATAATTTAAAAATTAAGTGAATCCGTGAGGTGAAATTACTAAATGATGATTCATATTTGAATGATTGCAAATGAAAATCTATTTACCTGTTGTGGTAGTTCACTGATTAAATACTGAGCAAATTTCTGAAGCTGATCTCTACGAAGCCTGGAAAGTGATTCGGATACTGGGGCCCTTAAACACACCGAATGAGCCTAGAAACCATAAAAAAATGAGTAGACAAGTTATATAAAAAAAAAAAAAAAAAAAAAAAAATTAAAATTAATGCCTAATACTAGGTTTAAATAATATCAATCTATATATTTAAAATCATCTACTGTTTTATTTTCTAACATAAAAACTTGATTATTCATTTTATTAATATTACTAAACAATTAGTAGGAATAAGCACATTTTATAATGTTAAAAGTAACATAATAAAAACAATTATAACAATGTACTACATCAGAATTGAATAAGAGATAAAACGTGAAAAGAAATAAAAAAAGGAGGAATGTATTGTACCTGATGAATTCTGTAAAGACACAGGGCCACAACATGAGAGCACCAGGCAGTACTGCCACATGTACACATGCATGTAGTAATGCGTCTCCTGTCAAACACAACAGCAACATTGAAGGAGCCTTTGCTCTGAGTAGAACTTTGTAGGGACAACACAGAAGCACTCAAATGAAAACCTATAATAAAAATATTAATACATCATTAATCCCATCAATGAGTGGGCTAAGCATGATAAATCAGATGTAAATTTTATATCTAAAAGCTTTTCATACAAAGAAATTGACAATATATATATATATATATATATATATATATATATATATATATATATATATATATATATAAAAAAAAAAAAAAAAGGTACCAAATATATCTTGATAGCTCAATGAGCAATAAACTTATGACCATTCAAAGTTGGTCAGAAAATCTCGTTCTACAGTAGCTGAAGATGCAGGCTTTAAATAAATGAAAAATCATTATAAGCGTAACATCATATAGGTAGTCATCAAGTAAAAGAAAGATAGCACTAACAGAATCAATAATTATTAGACTCTACATTGGGAAAAAAATTGTGTTCTCAAAAGCAAAATAGTTAAAAATGACAGAAGGGCAATTCTAACTGCTCATATAAGTTTCATTCCAACATTTAATGCCCTGCTTGACTTTCATAGAACAACAGAGATAAAGCTAATTTATTTTTCATAAAAGAATTTCCATTTGAGGTACATGCCTGAACCTTTGAAACTACTAGTTTGGGAATAAAGAATTAAACAAAAACAGCACTTTTCTCTGCAATATTTGTCAGAGAAGTAATTAATTTAGAAGGGTCTCTGACATGGAAAGCCCTAGTACATAAAGAAAAAAGAAGTGTCAGATACCCATTTCAAAAAAGATGTTATGTTTATTTTCTTTCATAACAGCTTAAGGAAAAATAAAATTATGAAAAAGACAACACATTTGCAAAAGTTGAAGAACTTTGAAATGTATCCATTTTTGTAACAATTTCATTTCAACCTTTGGAACAGGACCTAATCCCTAGAATTAGTGGGAGAAAAAGAAGATGAAATAAAGAAACTGACTACATTTTTTAAATTACCTAATTACATTTCAATTTTTTTTATGGACCAATGTGCCAAAGTTAAGCTAAAACATATATCCAGTTCATTTTTTATTTTATTTTTTTTCTAATATGTATCCAGATCCATTTAAAAAAAAAAAAAAAAGAAATTTTCACTAATCCCCAAATCCTGAGAATTAAGGAAAATACTGTCAACCACAAATGTAAATGTAATGAATGACCATTAGAAGGAAAACTGGACACATTTAAAAAATATTTTATTTTAATTTTTTTTTTTTTTTACAGACAAATGTGAGAGTGTGAAATTTAAAACTAAGAATATATCCTGTTTATATATTTATTTATTTTATAATATGAATTCTGCTTAATGTTTTTTTTTTGGTTATTTTAATGAAAATGCATAAACAACAGCCAAGATGAAAGTGATTTGAGCACAAGTTTAGACAAAATACAACAAGTACTCTATACAGTTTTAAAATGCATCATTAAAGAAAATATAATAAAAAGGTTTAAATTGTAATATCCATCAATGAAATAGGGTGCAACTGGCAATATTTATTCACTTGGCCAGCAATACAAATTTCAGTCTGTCAGATGCAACAGTTTTGCAAAAATGAACACAGTATACCCTTTTTTGAATAAGATGCACCTTCAGTTGTATCAGCACAAAGATATTAAACCAACTGATTATTAAAGACCAGACATTGCTCTACAAGAATGTTTTCCTTCTTTTTTTTTTTAAGAGTTGAATTTCTCTGAAAGTTTTCAATATAGAAGCCCACCAAATTGACAAGTGTATTTTTTTCTTTAAATTTTGATAAGTGTAGGGAGACACAACCTGGAGCAGAACCACTATGAAATTGCAGGAAAAGAAACTGAAATAGTGACATAATTTAAAAAGATATATAGTATCATCACATTCGAGAAAGAATAATATCTTTATAAAGAGAAAAGATTAAATTTTATTTGCATACTAATTTTATCAAAGTAGGCTCAAAGTTAAAATTGAAGGAAATTTCACTATTTTGACATGTTTTGTGAACTAGGGCAATTTGGGATAACTAATAAAATCAAGAAACAATGGTATTTTCTCGTAAAAAGAAATATTTAAAAAAACAAAAAAAAACACATTTATGAAAATACAAACTCATGTTTTTCAATTTATATAGATTATAAAAATAAAACAAAGAATCAGGGTTTATAAGAGATATTTCAGGACAAGGAGAATAAGTGAAATGTTTGTCAAGTTTTTTGTAAAGATTTTCACCCTGAGATATGTTTGAGCAAAATTATATTAAATACAGTTTTGGAAGTAAATTTGCTAAGTGTCAGAACTGCTCCTTGAATATAATTGACTTAAATCTTGATACTATCAGAAGAGCAGTTTCATTGTATAAATGACTTGTGTCTACATAGTGATAAATAAACTAAAATACAAGTAAATTCAATCTCAAAGGTATCAATTTTGAAACAGAATATATCAATTCTAAACTAAAATAATTAAAATTAAATCTTTTAACTTAAAAACAACATAAAATTTAAATTGCTGAACATAGCACATTAATTGATGAGGACATGTGCAATATTAAGAGCAGGGGAAAAATAATATTAGTTTCTAGCTTAACCCTGACATTTATAAAAATCTTTATCAAATTATGTTGGACAGTACAAAGATTCAAGTAATCATAGAATTAGTGTTGCAATGAATCCCTTTAATAATTCTTACAAGGCATCACTATTTCCACAAAGCACAGAACAAAAACATGGCCAACAAAAACTCTTTCCATGTAAAAAACTTAAGTCCCAAATTACCATAATGAAACTTGGCTGTACAAGATAATACAAATTCAATGATTCCACCATTTGCTTGAGAATTTATAGATCAAAAATTAAAATCCTTGTTCTTTAAAAGAAAAAAATAAACTTATTCTTACCAATTTGTAGAGCTTCTTTTACCGCTTTTATTTTATACAAGTGTTCTCCCTTCTGGAACTCATCAGAACTTCCATTGGCCAGGCAGGAGTACAATCTTAAAGGAAATTTTAAAAAGATTAATTAAAATTATTCACTTTTACTATCGTTGTAACATACAAAATGGAAGCCACTATATCAGATTATTATGCAAGTCAATGTTTTAATCAATAAAACTAGTATTTAAAAAACTGATGCTAGTAAAATTTTCAGGATATGCTTTTATTTCATAAATATACCACATGAATATTTACCATTATATTTAAGTCAAGATCACAAAGAGAAACATGTAATTTACTTGACAAAGTAAATGAAAATTGATTTTTCAACAGTAATTTTTACTGATGAAAATTAGAGGTAATAGACTGGATGGTTGGTCTAAGGTTGAATCTGCCATAGAAAGTCAAGCAATATAACTCAGAAGAAAACTGGGGTAAAAAGTGATGTTTTGGGTCAGTACTATAGGGAGTAAAATTATAGTTTCCTTCAAAGATATTGATCGTGTCAAAATAAATGCAGGGAATTATTTGGACAAGATAATTTCTGAATGGAACAGTTTGCAACCAAGAAGTTTAAAACTAAATATATTCATACAATATATTGTGCAAACTAACTACTGTTTACCTTGTCAAAAATGGTTTCAAGATAACAAATTAATAGAATGGTCCCAAGCCTCTTCAGATATTAATTCCATCATTAAAAAACATATATGAACATAGGAAACAATATTCAAGCAAATATCTCTAGGAAGCAACAAAAAGTATTGCAAGTAACATTAAAGTTGAAACAGTAGAAACTAATAAAATAAATGTATGAAAGAATAATGAAGTTTATAGAATCTCAATGAGCCCATATTAAAATGTAAAGTAAAATATAATATTCAGGTATAATGGAATACTGTGTGAATCAAATATATTATCTCAAAACTTATGTTCTTGTCATTTGTTGCCTATAAATTTTATTGCAGATTTTTATGGCAGTGTCTTATTTGTCTGGTACCTCTGCAGGGTCCACAACATGCTTAGCATTGCAAGGGTCAGTATGCATGATGAAGTAGTGATTCCTGGATACAAGCCAATACCTGATAATCCTTGGCAGAGTTTGCATGACCAAGGGTATCTGGTTGTTGAAAGACCTCATATTCATACATACATGAAAGAACTTTATCAATATCTTGTCTATATCTTATTCAGTTTTATATATATTTTTGGAATAAGATTATTTTTTCATTAAGGCATTTTATGAGTTTAAGTTTGTACACGGATCTACAAAGACTTGATGTCTTATATTTCTTCTTGTTATCAGCATACATAAAATTTGGATAAAAGTAATTATGTTATTCAGACAAGAATAATTTTCAAATACTGAAATACCATAACCCATACCAAGGCCACTTCTGCAAAGGTTAACCTACCTGATATCTTCTTCATTTTCAGGAAAACTCCAGAAGGCTATTCTAAGTTGGAGTTGGTCTGGAACAGGCTGTCGGAAATTTTCTACTACTTCAAATGGAATGTGGCAGGCGACGGCCTGTGCGGCCATCTCCACCAGAGTTGAAATTTTGTCTCCTATAAAACAGAAAATTAAAGATATGAAGGAGAATAGAAAGTAGGAATAAATATTCAATGGGTAATTCAAATAGCAAAATTTAATATCATTCTTGTTAGGCATCAATAGTGGATATAAAAATAGATAAAAACAGCCCTAACATTTCAAAAATATAAAACATAGTGACTTCAATAAAACCACTTCTTCACAAAGAACAAGAATTCAGAAACAAATAAATAAATCAATAAGCTACATTAATTATACTAGGAGTTAAATTTCAAGTTAAGATTTTAAAATTGATTTTCTTTTTGTTGTCATGTTTAAATTTCATCAATTTTATAAATAAAATATTCAGTGGAATTTTTCACATTTTGAGTTTCCACAAAATGTCTCATACTATTAAAAAGACAATAAGCAGAGTAAAATAAAATATATAATTGAGTGATTTGTTTTTTGCAGAAATATTCTTCCAATCATTATTATCACTAAAAATATTCTTTCAATATAAAAAAATATCTTTCTTTAAACAGAAAGATATTTTTTAGATTAGAAGAATATTTTTAGTGATAATGATTTTTACTGATACAAGTTCTACTAATTAACCCATAGCTGGAGAAGAGGCAGATTTATATTTTTTCCAAGGGTGTTTAATTGAATATAACAAACCTGAATGGAATTGAAACTCTCCAATTTCCAATTTTGAACCATTATCCATTACACCATCTGCACATCAAGCTTACAGCACTTGGTCTTCTCAAGCATAAAGTATGTGACAATAATTTTACCATTAAAATTAATTTGAAGTTCAATAAATGTAGCAGTCAATTTTCCATTTGTGTGTGGCAGTCAGTAGACAATAGCAAGAGCTCCATGCTTCCAAATGACCAAACATCAGAATGTGGTCAGCAACCACTTATAAACATTGATATGTTATCATTATAGCTCACCATACAATTAATAGTGAGAATTCCCTCTTCCTGCTTAGCTGACTCCATTTTTAAGGATCCCAAATAATTTAATTCATTATGGATAATATGAAAATATTTACAAAAACCATGTAATATGCTTAGTTTTTCAGTGCTTCTTGTAATAAAGCTATTTAAAAAAGTTTTTCATATCTAATGAAAACAATTTTATATAGACTGGTAAAGTATATCATTTATAAATTATTGTTGAAAATATTGAGAAATTTTTTAAAAACTGCAAATTTTTATCAGAAAATACATTCTGAAGTTTTTCATTTACAAAAAACAATTTTAAAATCCAACAATTAGTTATTTTATTCATGCATTTATTTTTTTGTACAAAGCATATGCTGCAAGGCTAAAGTAAAATTAATAATTCCAGCACTGCAAATCCATTCTCTTTTCTTCTGCAGTGTGCGTGTATGTGTGTGTATATATATATATATATATATATATATATATATATATATATATAAAAAAGAGAGATGCGTGTGTGTGTATATATAATAATGGACTCTCCCATCGTTTTCAATGTATTTCTTTCAGTTCAGTTTTTGTTTATGTTTGCAAACAAATCCACATGAAGGGCATATTGAAGGGTTGACCATCATATGGGTTGATGTGTTAGCCCAAAATTTAGTGTTCTTAATTCTCTCAAATGGTTAAGATGATTCTTTTCAAAGTTAGTTATACCTCAGTAGCAGGTATTTCTCCAGTTTGCTTGGTTTTCAACAGCAAATTCGAATTCCTCTATAGGGATGTTTGCAGCAATTAAATTGTATTTAAGTTTATCCTTGAAGCATAACCAAGTACAGCCTACATTACACTTACCATGAAAAAGTTGGCTATACATGAGGATTTTTGGCATCCAATCATCACTCATTCTGATGACATGACCAGCCCATTTGAATTGCGATTGCATCAGAAAGGATTCAATACCACCAACACCACATTTGATGAAAAGATTGGGGCTAAAAATTTTGTCCTGCCTTAAATGAAGTTAGTGTTTATGAAAAGCACCAAGTTGATTGATGTGCACCTCCTGTATGGCATCCATGATTCTGACCCATAAAGAAGTGTGGTGAGAATGACTGCTCGATAGACACTGATTTTCATTTTCAGCGAAATCCCATGAACATCTCATAGGTGATGCTTAAGCTTCCCAAAAGTATTGGTTGCCTTTGATATTCAGTTAACTATTTTGTCATCCAAAGAGGCACTTGAATTAACTTTGCTTCCTAAGTACGAGAATGATTTCACATACCTCAGGTTATTGCAGCCAACAATAACGGGAACGATTGGAAAGGTAGTGGTTTTTGTTTTACACCCTTGACCTGCTTAGGTGTAGGCCTTAGTTGATGAACAACTTCAGTTTTCTTTATGTTTATAGTTAACCCGAATACGTTACAAGTGGTGGAAAAAATGATTGACAAGTGTTTGCGTTTCTTCGATTGAGGTGGCCACAATCGTAGCGTCATAAGCAAATAAAGGATCATGAATAATGCTTGTGTGAATCAGCGATTTTGATTTAAAACATTGATGGTTAAAGAGGCCGCCACTTGTGCGGAATTCAAATTTCACACCAATGTTAAGATCACTAAAAGCATGGTGCAGCATGAGCAAAAAGTACAGGAGCCATGACACAACTTTGTTTTGGGCCATTTGTTACATCAAAGGTTTCTGAAAACTCTCTATTAGATATAACAGATGCTTTCATTCCTTCATGAAACGAGATGATGACATTTAACATACTTTCAAGCATGCCAAGCCTTTTGAGTACTTTCCAGGGAGCATATCTGCTTACAATGTCAAATGCTTTATGTCAGATCAATAAAGATGGTATAGAGTTCATGGTTCTTCTCGCAAACTTTCTCAGAAACCTGACAAAGTGAAAAAAAAAAAAAATCCTATCAATGGTTTCACGACCTGAATGAAAACCACACTGAGATTCGGGATAGATGTCATCAATGAGATACTTGATTATTCTGTTGAGAATAACACAAGCGAGAATTTTGTCAGTGATACTTAAAAGTGCAATGCCACAGGAATTATCACATACACTTTTTTGCCTTTGATCTTGAATAGATGTTTTATGCAAGCATCTTTGTAGTCCTATGGTACAGAACGAGCATTCCATTTGACTTTAAAAAGCTCAAGGAGTTTCTTAACCAGAGTCTTCCCACCAGATTTAAAAATTAAGGGAGAAATAGCATCTTTTCCAGGGGCTTTGTTCAAGGATAATTGCTTGATAGAATCCTGAATTTCCTTTAGGCATAGCTCAAGAGACAACAACTGGGAAATTTCTGGTTGCTGATGAATTGAAGCAATGATCGATGGCAGAGGTGTAATTAAGGACACTTTCAAAGTGTTCTTTCCATCATGACATAATTTCTTTCTTGTCTGTGTGGAATGTGTTGCTGTCAAACAACATAACAGGTGAAATTTCATTTTCTTAAGGCTTTCATAGAATGCTTTGGAATCTTTTCTGTCAGCTGACGCCTGGATTTCCATGAGATTCTTTTATTTTCCTGAGAGCATTTTGTACTTCCCACTTACACTGCTTATATATGTGCTTTTCTGATGGACAATTTTTGTTGTTTAAGAATATTTTGTGCAAATCATGCATCTTCTTGATGAGACATTGAACATGAGTATCATTTACATTGAACCAGTCCTGATGCTTCCTTATGGGAAGTCCTAGAACTTCAAGGGAGCTGGAATAAATGGCATCTCTGAGAGATTTCCAGGAGGATTCAATGTCTTCTGAGATCACAACTGAATCCAGCCTTGAATCCAGTGTGCCAGAGAGTTCTTTCTTCTTAACATCAGAATTCAGGGGTGAGATGTTGATTCATTTAGGAACCATAATGCTAATGAGAGGTTTCTTGCATAAAGGATGCTTTTCTGTATAGTAGAGCATGGTCTGAAAGATAGCAAGTGTTGTGGAAAGAGTGGGTGATATTGAAGTTTTCATGTCACGTTTCTTGGTGATAATGTAATCAATCATATGCCAATCTTTGGATCTGGAATGCATCCAAGTCGTTTTGTGATGATTGGACTGCTGATAACGTGTTGGTGATGGTGAGATCGAATTCTTGGCAGAGAGAAAGTAGTTGTAACCCATTAGAATTCATACTTCCGATCCTGTGAGTGCCAAGGACACCAGGTCATGTCTTATGGACAGCACCAACCCATGCATTAAAGTCTCCCATAATAACAAGTTTGTCTCTATGCGGACCTTTGGAAATGACTACGTAGTTAATCATAAAAGTCATCAATTTCTGACAAGAGTGTCCATGGTTGGAGCATAACAGCTCACAAGAGTGGCAGAAGAATTGTTGTTGAGTTCTAAGACTAGAATCACAATGCAATCAGTTATTCCTTTCGAAAGGGATGACAGGGATTTAGCAATATCTGATTTTATGACAAAGCCTACACCTGATAGGTAGGGATCTTCTTCACTTTTACCAATTCAGAAAAAGGTATATCCTGTACTAAATTCCTCAAGTTGAGAGGTGCCTGCAAAACAAATCTCACTGAGAGCAGCAATGTCAATATTGTGCTTGTTTAATGCATCAGCGATGAGGGCTGTTTTATGCTCTAGAGAAGAATCGTCTTGGAGGGTTCTTACATTCCAAGACCCAAGATTAACATGTTTACGAGTTTTACTCCTACTAAATCGATTATTGCGACTGCATTATTGGATAACTAGACAACTGCAGCGGGCGGCCAAGTTGATTAAGAGCAAGCAATGTTTAGGGCACGTTTTCTTTGTCCCAACTCTGGATTAGTGAAAGCAGTGCTATGTCTAAATAGACCTGCTTATCACCATTGGAGGACATGATTAGCACAATTGCTCAGGGTTTTGTGCAAGAACAGCCATCACCCGATGGTCACCAGTCTTCCAGTAACCGTTCTGCACCTGTCCCTGTCGCCTTAACTCTCCTGCTAATGGACTTGTTGCTCAGGTGGAATTGCAAAGAAGGAACACAAAACTGAATTGCAGACTATCCACACAGAAGATTTGTTTAGAGTGGTGAAGACTTATTGGAAGT